TGACCGGTTTTCTCCCCCATCCCCACTTCTTGACTTTCTAAGAGCAGGCGTCTGGCAAAACCCGTGCTGTTGTATGGCTGTCGGAACGCCCTGATGCTGAACCTGGTCGCCTCATCTGGACTAATCACAGGGTAACCTTACCCAGTATATTAGTGTCTTGTCTCCCAACATGGGTGTTACTCTCACGTGTTCGCAAAATACCTCTGCAGCGGTTCCAACATTACTTCCGTGGCATCGTCCGCTACCTGGCTCAAGATTTCCCTCAACTTGGATAGCGACAGGAGCTCTTCTGTCAACCTTCCAAGTTCGAGACTAGCCATTTGACGATTGTACTTGTCAAATATGATGCGGTTGTCGTTTACTAATTCTTCAAAGGAGTGAATGGCACGATCAATATGGTAGGTGGCCCACGTTCCGTTCCGCGATTTTGGTATAATTGGTGAATTTGCCGAGTTCATCAAAACGATGCGTGACTGCAAAGTTCAGATATGAAGAAATGTCATCAATTCTTCTATATCCCTGATTTACAGCGCTGATGGTTCGGTTCAGGACGGATACTATAGTTTATAGGCACGATGTACTAATACTTGTTGATTCTTTCGTGTGCCCTCAATGATTGACTTAACTTTTTCGACATCCTCATCTCCAGCAAGTCCAAAAAGAGAACGTCCAATGTCTGCACCAAAATTATTAAAGAGTCCACGCTTCGTTCGGTGATCAGGCGAATTAAGACGAGGATCTGTAACATTGGGCAGGTTTAGGTGGTAATTAGCATTGGTTGTCATGCGTACAGTTGCTTTACTTATGCGCATGAGAAATTGTGTAAGGTCAGTTGGTTGGATCCACCCATCAGTGTACATTTCAGCGATTCTTTTCTTTAAATAGTTCAAGGTATTGTTGACAGGCTAATCGAATCCGGGCCTATCTACGACAATCAGCAAGGTCCATTCAGCAGTTTGTATTCTTATGGGTTCCCTGTCGGTAATCAAAAGTCCATCTTTAAGTGGAGCAATATCTACCGCACTCATCGTCACGGCTACCATAAGGAGTAGTATAGCAAAGCTAACGCCATAGCCTCGTCCAAGTGTCGATGCTTTGGTCCCCACTGGGATGAAACATTCGCCGTTTCTGCTTGATGTCGTGAAGGTAAGGGATTTTGCTGTCTCGGTTTGCTTCTTGTTCGATCCATTCTGCAGCACGTTTTCCGTACCGTGTGTTGTAACTGTGGTTCACCTCTCTGTAAAGATTAGTATCAGCAGATGTTTCCCACGCTAAGTCTTCTTCACTCTCTTCAGAATATGAGTTTGAAGTGATGGGGTCACTGTCTGACTCCTCTTTAATATCCTCTTGGTCCCTTTCATCTTTTATCTCCTCTTTGATGGTGAATGGTCTTAGTTGGGGTTGGGCCATCTGATGAACTCCACAGTTTAGAGAAACTACTGCGCATGCGTCAAGATGTCGAATCTCCCTCGAGCGCAGCCGAGAATTAATTACAGCTTTGGAAGTAACTCCCTCGCTCTGCTAGTTAATTACGCCGCGGGTATTCGGGGCACAGACCGTGATCACTAGATACCGCCAATGGATTTTTGGATTTTTAGAATTTAGATTTTTCATGTGAACGGCGCCTAAATGGTCTTTTTCTGACGTCATCCCAAACTATATTTGGATCCACCAGGTGGAGCTTGTTGCAATTAACAGTTAGCACCTTTCCTGTCTGTTGATGACGTATCTTGTAGACCTTGCCACGCGTACTTATGATCTTGTACTGAGGGTCCCAACTGTTGTTGAACCTAAGGGTCTATTCCCACAATCTAGATCGATCTATCACCGCGGGGAGTCTCACCAGACTACCGTCAGATAATCCCCCTTAAGTGTCCGTCCCCGCCCACTACAAGCCGTAAGGGGCAATTAACTTTCGTGTCCGCCCGGCTGACAGCTATTCAGCGCGAACCCCCAGGGAGTTAGGTCGATCCAAAGTAGGTCGATCTAATCTATGGAAATGGGGTGTAAGACGTCCCTGTGCCTTCAGTATGACGGTATCAACAAAAGTTCATGCATTCAGGCGTCTTCTGTTGTATTTTTTTAAAATTTTCTATGTTAATCTTGGCTGTCTGTATTGCTTCGGTCATATCTTGTAACCGTCCGTTCAGTGGGTTGGTCACAGGCGAAGCTGTTAAGAGCTTAGTGAGTGGCAGTCTGGCACGGCGTCCATACATTGTGGAATCCCGCACTAATTTCACATTGCATTATCATAGTAGTCAACATGTTAATATGTATATTTGCGTCTGTTCTGTATACATAATTAGTATTCGCTGTAGAGGCCTATAGGTATGCTGAGACAGATGCATATCACCCGTTACTAGAAAAGCACTCCGAGAGCGCAGACCTCCGCCAAGGCAGCAATTTTTTATTTTTATTGATTATTGATTGATTATTGATCCGGATCACCACCAAAAACTAATCATCTGATCCTTGGCCCACTTCTGACAGTTCCTGAAAATTTCACCAAAATCGGTCCATAACTTTTTTTAGTTATGTTGATGACAGACAAACAAACAAAGAAACTGGTAAAAACATAACCTCCTTGGCGGAGGTAAATATTGCACAGCAATTAGTATGCAAATAAGTAGCAGTTGCTTGCACGCATAGATTCCCTGTAGAAAACGTGTATAAAATTTGAATGTTGTACATAATAAAGACATTTTTAGACTTGAGACTGAAGATGTGAGGTTGTTCTTTTATGCTTCTCTGTGCACGTAAAGTGAAGGATCCGGACTGATTCGGATCTGGAGTGATGTCGGAGCCCATAGACTTGTTAATTGTTACACTGAAATTCAGTAGTCATTTTGGACGGTTCATACCGTCCTTGGATACTACATATACCCTAGTAGTTTCACTTCAATTATCATGAGGGAAAATATCCCGGTTAATATACCCTATGAAAATGTAATTAAAATATCTAAGTGCTTTATCTATTTCCTCCACCAGGTAAGTCATGAATAATTATGCTAATAAGTGATTCTGTCCACTATAGAGAGCCTGGCCGTCCCAAGCCTCGGAACCACCGGAGTGGCACTCCGAGTATGTAATTAAGGTACAATTTGCTTAGATTTCTCGGATATCTGTTATCTGTTCAGAGTTATCCAATGTAACAATGGTGGGTTTCAGTTTTAATGAAGTACTAAATTATGCACTGTCCACGAGCCCGATATACACGAGGGGCGAGGGGGTAACAGTGCATTATTTCCCATACATACATACATACATACATCGTGCATGTTCCACACCCAAACCCCCTAACTTTGAATAGAACACGCTGATATCACCGCGCATAAGGTGAGGTCAAAGAATGGACTTTACTGCCTAATTGCGGTCACCGTCCAATCATTTTCATTTGCGTGAATGGTTTGTGGTTGCGTGTGTATTAACAGAGACAATACTCTCTTTATAACTTCTTGGTCTGTTAGTTGTTTTGATATCAGCCCCGTGGAATGTATTTTCAAATACCCTAATTAGGATACAGTCTTTACAAGACCGTGGAACGCACTCGTACGGAACATGCTTGTATGTCGAATACAGCACGACCGAGTCTTTTGTTCTACGCGCTAGCCGTGGTTTAAACACAATTCAATTTTTTGTAAGAGGGATAATTTATTTTTAAAGGCGCTAAAATAAATCAACACTTCAACTAAGATTTGTTAAGGTCATCTGTCACACAGTTCATACAAGGGTATTTAGGAACATCATGGACGGTGCAAACTTTACGGCGCAGCGTTTGATGATCTTGCTTTTTAGTATCATCGTATTTTCAGCGACCCAAGCAGGTAAGTCGGCGTAAATGAAGCTGAGTCACGTAGAAAACAATGGGGTTTTTAATGTGATATGAGTAGTTTTTATTACAGTTGTAAGTCATTTCTTAACGTAACGTTTATGTAATCTGAAGGGCTGTTCCATTACATGTTACATGTACATAATTACATGAATAGACCAAAGGGTTGCCATGTGTGGAAATTTGTTGAATTCGTGAAGAAAATGTAGATTTTACTTTTTGGGTCATAAGAAAAGTGTTTGAAGTGCCATCTTGTTTATGTTGCCACACCTACACGGAAATAAACTACTACTACTTTACAAAAACTGTAGGTCATCCCAAAGTTTTAGTTAGTACATCAACCATTTTTTCAAAAGCCCTTTATATGGTTACATGTTATGTTAAATACATACTGTTGCTCAAAATGTGTGACACATTCTCGTGAATTCAGGTTTTAAATGATGTTACTGATTGTCGGGGACATTTAATAATTCACGAGCATTTGCAGTCACTTCACGTAACGTCTTTGTTTGAAGTTTTTTCGCAACGCATTTCTCCGTAATACTTAGCACGTAGAATAAAGTCTAAAAAGTAAAGCCGTCTTGTTTGTTAATCTGAGTAAGAAGTTGAAGAATCCAACCTTTGACTTGGCTTGAGATTAAAGAGTGGGATTTCCCAGATCGTCAGAATTGTACCGGGGCAAGCAACGAGTGAACATTAAATGACTGAAATTGGTTGTTGTTGTTGTCTGCGTTGGATTTTCTCATAGCGACTTATTTGGACCACGAATCTGTTAAGAACCGGTAGTATTAACGCGTCAACCGCTCAAAAAGTTTACAACGGTTTACATTCTGAACTGGATGACATTTCTACCTCAACCGTTTTGCCATAAAATTTTATGAATTTGATGGAAGTTATTTTAATGATTATGTTCGCGTTGGGGTCCCTTTTTATTTACATTAAAATTACACTTTGAGTGAGTTTTGAAAGCTTGTTTTTTTAAACAAAAAATGTACACAATAAAGATGCGTTTCAAAATTGATCTAAGTTTATATCCCTTCTTCTGACCTTTTTGTCTTTTCTCTTTTTAGGACACTCTGGCGCCCATTTCATAAAACTCATTTTACCTCTACCATGAGCTGTTTAACAATCTTGGGCTTACATAATTTTTAATTATTTTACAGTACGCCACGAGTGTGCTCGAGTTTGTCAGCGAAATGTCCACAAGACCTGCGAGTACAATTTCACCGTCGAGTGGTATCTTACGCTATCCAAGGTAGAATGAATAATAAAATTTAAATATTACGAGATTGTACCAGAAAGTTCAAATTGACTAGAATTGAGTAAATTAAGGGTCGAACGAAATTCCAACATTTACATACAATACAAAGGACGTCCTACCATAAAGCCACGTCATACACAGGTATGAATCCCTTAACGCCATTTTTAAGTGACCCTATTCAGCACAGGGTAGATTTTCCAGGTGGCATCGGAAATTTTCGTATACTTACGGAAATAAGTATGATTTTATTTATACTTTTCTCCTTTACATCTGTCAGTAATACCTCTACCGCCATGCACCAATGAATAAAGAATTGATTTTGTTTACGTCACAGATGCATTTTTTACTAAAAGTCCTTTTCTGCAGTCTGGTAATACGCAAGAACTGCGTTTGAAGAGGAGAGGTATCATTTTTGGTTTAGTGATATCTCAGTCCCCAAAACAGCCATATGGCGTTAAAATACAAACCTAACGACATAGCGATTGAAAATGGCTGTGATACAGAATCTTGATGTTTTTTAATGACATCTTTTCTCCTCTTTTTGGACTGCATTCAAAGACTGGGTTCCCATGCCTAGATCGGTTAATTGACAGCAATTTAGGCAGACTCCCCAGGGAGATAGATCGATCCAAATATATGTGGGAATGGTCCCAAAGATTATACATATTCTGTTGTCTATTGTGATCAGCCATTTATTCATTTAATGAAAACACTTTCATTATTCAATAAGGTCAAAACATATATCTCTACAAGATTTCTGCTTGGAAAAATAGGTGGATTAAAACGAATGAAACAAACACGTGTATTTAGAGAGGATTTAAACAAACGAGACAAACATGAATATATAGAGAGAGTTCAGTTTTCCACGTATAACTCATTGTGCTAAGTAAATGACACACTATTATTATTCGTTGCTTATAAAAATTCTTCCAAAATGTACAAACCGAATGTTACGATACATTCTAGGCTTGCTACGACTGTCCATTCAACTTGACGGACTGCCACCGCCCCCATTGTATAGCCGCTGATGGACATATGCGAGCTGTCATTGCGGTCAATAGACAGATACCAGGGCCAATGATAGAGGTAAGACAAAGTATTTCACATATTTAGAAAACAAATGCGTTAACAACACATCATACAAAAAGGACGTAGAATCAGTTATCCAAATTATCAATATTTAGGGACCTGTCAGTACATTGGCTTTATGATGTGTTTTTTGTAAATTAATCAAAACATATGTGATTGTCATCCAGGTTTGTGAGGGTGATACCTTGGTGGTGAATGTAAAGAATGAACTTGAGGACGGTGAAAGTACAGTGATACATTGGCACGGTATCCACCAGATGGGGACACCGTACATGGACGGAGTCAGTATGATAACACAGTGCCCCATTCCACAGTTCACAACTTTCAGGTACGCTACGGGGATGTTAGACACATTAAAATGTAATGTTGATAGCCTTTTTGCGAAGTATATTGTATTAAGGTCCTTTTTATTATTTTTATTCAAATCTATCGCAAAAATATGGCAAAAGTGGCAGCAGCTGTTATCATTCATATTTAAGGAAGTCACCCAAATGTTGTAAGAAATCAATGACTACGTGTATCATTGTGTCTCAATATTTAATTTGTTTTCTGCACATGTACATGGGTTGGTATAAGGATCTCAGACATTATTCTTCTTCTAATTTTTGTGTCTTTTCAATCCCTTTCGTAAGGAAGCTTCTCCTTTTTTTGCCATATTTTATTTCCCATCCATCAGCGTTTGGGTCAGTAAACATGCATTGATGATCCGACTCAGAGTAGAACACTCTTTTATTACATCCATCTAGCTTTAAGGCATGAACCTCTCTGGTGACTTAATATTGCACAAAAGGTCTCTTGTTACAATCATAAGTTATGCCAAAAGGAAATGTCAGTGCTTAGCATACAAAGTATACCACATTGGGCCTAAGGTATACTAAAGTTGACAAAAAGTTGCTACATTTAAGGCAAACACAAGTCATTTAATATGACCTGCTCATTTGCACAACAGCATTACAAACGCATTCCAGTTATTTCTTTTTTAGATGTAAGACTATTATTCTTATGCCTGGACACGAATGTGGATTTCACTTAGCAAGAGTGTGAAGGCTTGTGCATGGGTACAATGTATAACCTCACGTTACCAACTTACATGTACATTATTCTTGGCTTGACATGGTATGCCCAAACACTGACATTTAATTGTGTCGCAGGCCAATGTTTACCCCGTCAAAGCGAATGTTTGCAGGATAATTCTAACAGGTCATCTTGGAATTGTTTCTGTTGATACTAGTGAAAGAATGTTTTTGCTCTTTCGACGTGATTCATTGAAACTCCGATATCTAAATATGATTTTTTTTTTCAAACTATTTCTGGCCCCTACAGATATTTATTCGATCTTTTACAACAAATGAAGTGCAAATATTTTAAACATGCCATCTTTAAAGACATAACAACTCTTTGTATGACATTCATATTTCACAACAAATACATTGTAAACAACTCATATAAAAAAAATTATCATATGAACGTCGGTTATCGCAATTATTCTGGAATCTGTGGTTGCCATCGGACCACGTGGACCTTCATAGATGGCTTCCATCTTTAAAAAATCACTTGATATATTATTACAAAAATCAAACTTAAAGTAAAGAAACATGGATTTTATTTAAATGGCAGAACGAAATCATTAACATTGGACAGTAGGGTAAAACGCCGTTTACTCCGTTTATTGCACTTTTCCCACCAAAATGTCTTTATTTCATCAAAATGTAAGAAAACTTTTTTCTTTTTCTTTATCTTTTTTATTCATTTATTTATTCATTTATTTTAATTTTTTTTTGGGGGGGAGGGGAGGGGGAGAAAGAGAAAGATTGACAGCCGTAGTACTTAAGCAGAAGTCTACTCTAATACAGGTACACGTTTAAAGCCAGCCCAGCTGGGACCCATTTCTACCATTCTCACGTCGGCTCGCAGATCGCGGACGGCCTGTATGGTGCGTTAATAGTTCGCAAACCACCGGAAGATGAACCACATAGGACCCTGTACGACGAGGATCTCCCTAGTCACGTGATTCAGCTGGCAGACTGGTTTCCAGAGCCATCAAATGCACGTTTTGTCCATTTGATGCATCACAAGTGAGTGTCGTTGTTGATATCCCTAAACAAGTAAATACATGTAAGTTATAGATATCCCTCCACCAGGGGTCTTCCCAGTGCTGTGTTGATATCCCCCACCAGGGGTTTTTCAAGTGTTGTGTTAAAATCTGTCAACCAGGGGTCTTCCCAGTGTTGTATGATATCCCTCCACCAGGGGACTTCCCAGTGTTGTGTTGATATCCGCCCAGCAGGGGTCTCCCCAGTGTTGTGTGGATATCCCTCCACCAGGGGTTTTTCAAGTGTTGTGCTGAAATCTGTCCACCAGGGGTCTTCCCAGTGTTGTTGTTGTTGTTGATATCTGTCCATTAGGGATAATTCCGAGTGTTGTTATAGATATCCCTCCACCTTCTCAGTGTGTTGTGGTAATATCCCTCCACCAGGGGTCTTCCTAGTGCTTTTTTGAATTGATACCAGTGAACAGAGATGTCAGCTTTATGTTTTTTTTCTGTCTGCAAACAATCAAATTTAATTGTTGATGATGAAAATTATGATTTTGTAATAAGTGATCATTTATTTTTGATAATGAACCTGAGTGATTCTCAAATAGTAAAGTGAAATCTTCTCTTTCATACAGGTTTGATGTCTTTCTTCCACTTTCGTTAATGTTAAACGGGAAGTCTGATAACTACGAAGTGAAACTGAGTTCCAATCCTAACATCACGGCAAGACCCCCTCTAGAAGTCTTTCACGTGACCCAGGGTAATCGATACCGCTTTCGCTTCATCAACGCTGGTCACATGTCATGCAATTTTAAAGTGTCGGTTGACGCCCACAACTTGACTGTCATTGCTGCCGATGGTGTTGCTGTGAAGCCCTTGGAGATCGATGTATTTGGAATAACACCAGGTATTTATGCATTGTTATTAACTTTTTGTAAAGCGACGTGACTTTTTGCAATTAACAAAATGTTAACAAGGGAAGTAATGGTGATTTATAAGAAATATCAACTCTAACAGTATCTATAATCACGCATAGCATTTCACCACTTCATAGGATAAGCATTACTACTTCATGATGATAGGCGACTTCATTCGTTAAAAAAAATAAGGACCCTCATGAATGCGACTTCGCGATATAAACCACTTTATGGGACATTTGTATCCAAACATATAATAGTTATAAATATAATTTCTTCTTGAATTTTTAGATAAAATAGTTATAATTATAATCATGGAAATTAGTCTTTTTAAAGTGCGACGTGACTTGATAAAGGCGATTGGCATGTACCAGTATGTCACTTCAGTGATTTTATTATACCCTAATATTAAATTATTTATTCATCTTGTAATCCAACAGCCTACCGATACTCTGCCGTGTATGCCCCCCCCCCCCTTTTGAACGCCTATGGTCCCCCCTTTCAGAAATCCTGGGTCCGCCTGCATATGTCCGAGTATTTTAATATTGCTCAAGACATACACCCCAAAGTACTAATGTTTATACAGAAATATTCGTAAATATAATTGAAACGTACTGTTTATCAATGTTGGATAATTTTTTACAGTACAAAAGTATGATTTTTTCAAAAACACTTCATCGCCATTATCCTATGAGGTAGCAGGCAATATCTTACTTGATGATGAAGTCGCTTTTTATCCTATGAAGTAGATTTTCCAGTAGAATCAGGGCATTTCTCCTGTGAAGTGGTACTACACCAGTGTACAAGTATTATATTACAATATTATTATTAAATTATTCAATACAAATACAATTAACCTATAATTCGAAGCGCTGTGTTCGTCCGAGTTTAAATAATAAAATCAATAAAATGTTAACATGGGCAGTTCAGGTCATATCTTTGTCGATATTGTTAATTTACCCTCCAGCAGTACATGCATAGTATGGCATGCGCTTCATTCTACCACTTGAACTAAAGCAGGCCACATTGAACGTTAAACGTATATTATTAATTATTATTCGTTTTCAAATTACTTCCAGGTGAAAGATTTGACGTCGTCTTGCATGCCAATCAGTCAGTTGGAAATTACTGGTTGAAAGCGGTAGGCTTGGTAGATTGTGGTTTCTTAGGGCATGTGGCCCTAGGAGTGATAAGATACGATGGCGCGGCTGACGAATACCCCACGGAAGACAGGAAGGCAAACAGACTCGGAAAGGTTATTTTCACTTATGTATCAATATACACCGCTTTCAACTCATCCTTAATATAGATCAATCAAGGTAGCTTTTCTTTACAGATGTCTGATAGTGTGCCAATTTTAATTAGCCGTTTAAATCAGGTGCTACAAATATAATACACTGGCATTGTTGTTGCACAAGATGTAACTAGAATTTCGGAGCAGTTCTTCCAGTTTGATTACAGGACCTTACAAGTTATTTGCATTATTTGCATAATACAAATATAAAATTTAATTTGGAGGAGCGTTTCTTTAACATTCATAATTCAGGTTTTGAAGCTTATTTCGTTTCTATTAATGAAATGTGACTTTTTTCAATATAAAAATCCCCAGGCTGGTGTTAAATTGTTTTTAACAATAAAATAGTTAAACGAAGAAAAACAAACATAGTAATACATGAGCAATTTACTGGTAAATCGAACATCTGATATAAATCTGTCATTTCAGTATTTGAATCCAACCAAAAGTGAGCCTGATAACCCAATTGCAATTAACGGACCGGACTTTGATATTCTCGTTGACGAGTTGGAAAATTTTGAGAACGATAATTTCACCGATGAGAAGGTAGATGTCAAATACTATCTTGGTAAGGCAAGTTACTGTACGATCGAGTCTTGTTTTGCTGTTACTTATTTTGAAACACGAATGTGTTTTGATTGTGTCTGTGCTATCTGTTCCGTTGCTTTTATCTTGACTTTGGAAAAACTCGCTAGCCAGGGCTCTGTTTCATAAAATACCTATAAACATGCTTCTCTACAAAAAATATAAATAGCCGGATATATAAAGTCGACTTTGTGAAAATGGTCTCGGAACGCTTTGAGAACGGCTGGGCTGCCAAAGGTTAGTTAAAACATATTAGAATATCAGGATAAATTACGATGTTTAGGGGAAAACGTGACAATTTGACACAACAATACGTCATACGCAGAATACGCTATATAAGGTTTTTCTGTTGAACATAATGTGGCGTACCTTAGTCGGCTAAATCATTAAGACTTTTTTTCGTGGAAAAGCGCCCATTCGTATCGTCTGGAGAATCTGAAACTAAGAACGTAAGAACCAGTTTTGACGGTAAAATAATTTAGCAGTTTATGGTAGAATAATTAGGTACATGTCAAATCGGCTTTATTTCTTCTTGTTATTTTAGGTATGGACTTTCTGAACAATGACAACACAAAGTTTAACCATTTTGTCTACTACCCCGTGAAGGAGCTCACTCCAGCCAAGGCACATTACACACCAGCTTTAGACAATGTATCCTTTCTGTTGATATAAGCGAAGAAAAGGTATATACGCAAAATAATTATCACCCAGTATTTCAAAATTTTAGCTTTATCATCTTTATCAGGCCCCGTCACATTTATTCGCAATCAGCAGGAATCAAGCTGAATGAGCCGGAATGAAGAGTTGTCTAAATTCGTACTACATTCGGGAAGAAATTTCAAATTGACCTAAATTCTTGTAAGAATGCCGGTGGAATTAGAATTCGCTTGAATCCGCCTGTAATGATTCGTGCACATTTCGGCTGTATTAGCTCTCAAATGCAGCTCGAATGTAGTTGGAAAACTAGGAATATCGATAATGCTGTCATAATGCAGTCAGAATATTTATAATACACTTCGAATGCCGTATGAGTNTTTATTTGGGGGGGGGGGGATTCTGAAGATAACTTGCGTACCTAAATGGATAATTGTTTCCAAAATGTTTCAGGTTGTGGAAATGATCCTGATCAACGAGGGTAGACCGTTCAAAAGTGGGCATCCACTCCATATGCATGGTGCATATTTTCGTGTGCTAGGCATTGGAAAGGTAAGTGCATGTGTATTCCCTAGTTCTCTTCAATGTAAAATGAAATTAGCAGTAAAAGGCTTACTCGACTAATTTCTGTGAATATTTGACATTTGATTTTTCGTGCGTGTTTATATATTTCCTAATAATTACCGTTTTAATTTATTTCTTTAAATAGATGTGTATAACCATGTTTGGAGCAAATAAATTGACGAAAAACTGATAGCAGCAGCTGTCTTCTTTGATATTTACAATTCTAGCTCGGAAGTTCTATTTCGGTTGAAGAAGTAAAGAAACTTCACGAGGAGGGCAATCTAAGATATAAACTTATAAGTCCTAGCTACCGTGACACAGTAAACGTACCTGACGGAGGATATGCCATCATACGATTCAGAACCGACAATCCAGGTAATTGTTAAATATTAAAATTAAAAAAGAAAACGGAGTTTTCCTTTGTATATAACCCAAACCCATTATTAAATATTATATAATTAATACAAAAGACCCATAATATTCTTGTCAGGGTTGTATACCTACGACAATATTCAAGTTTTGTCCTTTGGTTTATACTGTAATCAATGCAGGCCTATAGACTGTTTACGTTAAATACTTCTCTCAGAATTTAGTGCTCATTTACATATCATAAATACCGTAATGCACTGAAAAAGGTACAGAAAAATGATAACCTAATACCAAATAGACATTGATGTAGTTTTATTAAGTTATATATTTCATTTCCATACAGGTCTTTGGTTCTTCCACTGCCATGTTGACTCTCATCTAGCCCAGGGTCAAGCCATGTTGCTGAAGTTTGGAGATTTTGCAGAGTATCCATCGATTCCAGCAAACTTTCCTCGATGTGGAAGTTGGGGCAGACATGTGTACAAAGATGCAACTCACAGGGACCAATGTCCTCAACAACCTGTGCAGGAGTGTAAAGAACCAACCTCGACCGGAAATCGTAGCCTGCCGCCATTTTCTTTGTTTCAGTTGACCATCTTCCTCCTACATGTTTATTGGATAAAATCTGGATTGTTATAGAATGCATCCGACTTTGTCAAACTAGTAGTGCACACTGGTTGCATTTCTTTCTTTCTTAACATTCCATTATAGGTGAAATATCATGAAAGACCAAATAATTAACTGGAAGGCCTTTTCTGAAAGCTTTAAGTAGGCCTAAATACATGTAAGTGTAATATTCTCAACTGATATCTCGCTTCATCTGCAAGATGTGACTTGATCTCCATGGAAATCACAGGGAAACATGTTATGAATTTGAGTAAATGGTGTAAAATATGGATATATCTGTGTTTTGTACCATAAATCATGTTATTATTTTTTCAAAATATTGTAGATATGTTTTTTATTCATACGTACCTCCAGCGTGAAATCTAGCGGTAGTCATAGTTTTAGTCCCTATCTGTGTCGCGTCATGTCGGCGGATGTAAGTCACCGTTACCGCTTTTCCTTGCGGACCACAAGGACCTTTGTATTAATCTCTTGGATCGGATTAGGTCACATTTAACCTCAACTTAAACCACCTAGATCTTGTGCCCTGTAGGGGCATTTGCCTATGTGTGACGCTGGTTGTAATGCAGGTCCTAGTTACATTTTAAATGAAATGCGAAATATCTCCTAAACCGAAATAGGGAAAAGTTACTATAGAAGTTTAACTGAAAGTCATATGTGGAGGTGCCAAATATGACCTTGGATTTGACCTTCAACATTTATGACCTGTGCTTGCAAAATTATTGTGTACGAGGAAAAAAAAACTTACACCACACAAAACTTACATGTCTGAACGACAGGTCTGGGAAGAAAAATTGTTGAATTTTCCTTTCAATAGAAAATGCTACTTTGTAAAGATTGAAACATCTGGCGGCGGTATCACAGGTATGATCCTCAAGTTATGATTATATTTTATCATTATGTATCTTATATACTGTATGCACATGCAGTAGGACTCTCACACGTGTGGACTAGTACAAGAATGAATGGATCCTATTTTTGTCCCTTTAACTTCAGGCAGTAATTGTGTTTTAAAATATACAGAGATAGATAGACTTTAAGACAAAGACATTTATGGGGTTCCAGACAGATAACTTTATATTTTCAGGTGTAATTCACACAGACTCTATCTTAACAATTCATATATTTTACGAATCTTACTTGCCGGAATAAAATTTTATTTAAAAGAAAACATTATTTTGTGTTCATGTCATCTTTTTACACTCTCAACTGAATTGCAAAATAAATAAATAAATAAATAGATAATTAATTAATTAATAACATTTGGAAATGGAATAAATAAGGTAAATTTTCAGTTTCATCTACATTGTTATATTCAACATATCTAATCGGAACATATACTGCTTTTCAAACAGCAGTACAAATGTAATAAAATCCTCTATAAGAGTACGCCTGCTTGCATATGCACTTTTTAACGAGATGATATGTTGGAGTTGATGAAGATAAACATTGGTCTAAACGGTTGTCTGACCCCAATTCCATGTGCTTTTTTTTACAAATGTTCAACTCACATATTTAATTGTGATAAACAGTGCTTTTTATTCAAGATGCCATATTTGACATGATTAATGGTTCAGAAAATACAAAATAGCGATGAAAAATATTTCAACAGATAAATAGGCTACTATGAATTAATGACGCAAAATAGTCGTCTTTATTACCTCTTGACGAACCTTGCAGAGATCGTCACTACAGTTGGTAGTGTTAACTGTAAAGGGGTTACAAAACCAGGCGGTATCAATGTCATCTGGTTGTGTCATGAGGGGCACAGGAGGGAACGCAAACGTTATCTTTATGGTCGTTAAGGAAAAACAAATGCACAGAATATATTTTAATAACAACTATTCATCAATGTTCAGTTGTTTTTTTCCGGAATTTGGATTCACAAAATGATTTTCTATTAAACAAACGAGGAAACAATAGAAAATTTTAAAATGTGAAAACTAATATTTTGAAAGTTTGGGCACCAGTGATAATTATTACGTTCAGAAACCTCTTTATTATCATCGACCAAAAGGATACGTTGTCTAAAACTGGAGTGTGGTGTGCTTTGGCCCGAGGGAGCTCCTTCACGGGGTAGTAGATACGGTGGTTATACTTCGTGTTGTCATTGTTCAGAAAGTCCATAGCTAAAGTTACAAGAAGAAATAAAGTGGATTTTACTTGTACATGTACCTTATAATGCTACCATGAGCTGCTGAATAATTTTACCTCTTGTACTCTGAAGTCCACATCCTTCCAGACGCTTTTGTCCATTAGCCTGATATACTAAAACCCGGGGCCTATTTAAGAAGTCTTAAGTCAGTTATGGGGCTCAAATTTTAACAACTGATATTTATTAAATGTACGTTTCATAGACAGCTTTTATGACTGTATAAATCAATCTTTTCGGGCTAAATAGTTGGGCAAACATGCATGCATGAAACATGCTTGAAACATGCACCGATTCGACTTATCAGCATACCCAATCCAAATTCTCATCGGTAAATTTGTATATATAAATATTGTATGTAATGTAATAAATACGGAAAATATAACACAATAACAATTTTACAAGCCCAAAAAAGTACCAGCAAGACAAGACTCGACCGTACAATAACTTGACTTACCAAGATAGTATTTAACATCTACATTTTCATCAGTAAATATTTCGTTCTCAAAATTTTCCAACTCGTCTACGAGAATATCAAAGTCCGGTCCGTGGGTTTTGATCGGGTTTCTTGGTTCACTTATGGTTGGATTCGAATACTGAAATGTGGAGATTTATATTACGTTGGCGACATGATACACTTCTATCCGTGTTGCCGACTTATAACATTGAGTGATACATGTATTTGACTTATTTATAATTACAGTAAATGTTCTTCTTTGACTTTTTGCCTTGTTTTCAAATTGATATATTGTATATCTACAAACAACACCAAACTGTCTGGAGCCATCGTTCTCAAATACCAAAATAGAGAAAGGTCCATTTTGATACACAGGTTTTGCGTCAAAACACCCAAACATAACGTATGAATAGTTTTAGTTATCATTATTAAAGACATCATAAAAGTTTGATATCGTTTAAAATGACGGAAAACAAAACTGCTTTATCAAGGCATAATGAAAAACAGATATGATCCAATATTTAAATTTATCGCAATTAAACCTGTAGCTAAATCACCAATAATTCCGGTGAATCGAAATTGCAGCATCTTATTTTAAATCAAAGATGACACAGTATAAAACTCGTCTCAGGCCCATACAGTTTATGTGAATGATTGGTAAACCATAGTATATTGAAGCATAAATTAGAATAACCTTTCCGAGTCTGTTTGCCTTCCTGTCTTCAGTGGGATATTCGTCAGCCGCGTCATTGTATCTAATTACTCCTAGGGCCACATGTCCTAAGAAACCACAACTCGCCATGCCTACAGCCTTCAACCAGTAATTACCAACTGACTGATTAGCATGCAAAACGGCGTCAAATCGTTCACCTGAAATTAAATAGTTAAATCATGAACGAATAATTGATCATTGATCAGGGCACGTTCAGGTTGCGACACGAAGCGCCTGATTAGAGACATTGCTGGATATCCATTTTTAGGTAAAATTAAAAAATGTCGTCTTGGCACCTGCACTTTTCCTGTTAAAACTGTATTGCAAGGAACTACAGCACTTCGTGATAATCAAAGATAAATGATTACCTGGTTTTATTCCAAATACATCGACCTCTATAGGCTTCACGGCAACGCCATCGGCAGCAATGACAGTCAAGTTGTGGGCGTCAACCGATACTTTGAAATTGCATATCATATGGCCAGCGTTGATGAAGCGAAAGCGGTATCGATTACCCTGGGTCACGTGAAAGACTTCTAAAGGGGGTCTTGTCGTGATGTTAGGATTGGAACTCAGTTTCACTTCGTAGTTATCAGATTTCCCGTTTAACAGTAAGGAAAAGGACAGAAAGTTGTCAAACCTGCAGAAAAAAGAATGCTCAATGCATGCTAAACTCTGCTAGACTGTACAAATAAAATAAGGTTTCAAATGCTGCTTTTTATATCAGATACCATATATAAAAGGACTTTAAAAACCCCAGTGTAGATATACTATTTTATTATCTTTACAGAGCATGTACGTTTTTTATCTTTTCTTCAGAACATTCACCCCCTTGTGACTTGTATAATAGCGTGTGTATCTACTACGTAAACGGTCCCATTCACTTTCTATTCCAGAAAAAACAATCTACTAAAACCATTGGCACCTAATGATCCCCAAACGGGCTACATTCTCCTCCACTCACAGACCAACACACGCGCACACACACACACACACGCACGCACACACACACACACACGCAAACATACACGCGACAAGTGTAGTGGAGTACAACAAAACTGTTGATTCGTCAGCAAAGACGGTGGGATTCCAGTGATGAAAAGTTAAGTTTCATTACTCCCTGACCGTCTGCAGGAGAAAAGTGCAATGCCCCATAGACATACACGCTAATGTGCCTTTTAAAGAACTCACTCAAATGCTTATTGTGTAAAAAATGTTGATATTTCGCGGAATCTTTTTAATTTCACGGAGGTATTTCACCTTTATGCAAATCACCGAAGACCATCAGATTTGAGGTGGAAGGTGCATGTAATTAATTTGAATAAATGATAAAAATATCTATGCATCTGGATTTTGTACTTCGATACAATATGTTACGTTAATATCTGGAATAGAAAGCATTACTAAAAACAAGGTTTACAGCTGTGATGTGATAAAACAAAAAACAAGAAATTAGAGGCATATCTTCCTTTTTGTGCAATTTTTCATGTATTAAAAACTTTCAATGTGACTCTTTTGTTTTCCAATTTGTTAAGGGGCTTGATATTTACATAAGAATTGACAGCTTGATATCTCAAATCTCATCCTGGTAGAGCACATTCAACAACAGCACTCACTTGTTATGCATCAAATGGGCAAAACGGGCATTTGATGGCTCCGGAAACCAGTCTGCCAGCTGGACCACGTGACTGGAGAGATCCTCGTCGTACAGGGTCCTATGTGGTTCATCTTCCGGTGGTTTGCGAACTATTAACGCACCATACAGGCCGTCCGCGATCTGCGAGCCAATGTGGGAATGGTAGAAATGGGTCCCAGCTGGGCTGGCTTTAAACGTGTACCTGTATTAGAATAGACATATTATATATATANACGTGACTGGAGAGATCCTCGTCGTACAGGGTCCTATGTGGTTCATCTTCCTCTGGTTTGCGAATGATTAACGCACCATACAGGCCGTCCGCGATCTGCGAGCCAATGTGGGAATGGTAGAAATGGGTCCCAGCTGGGCTGGCTTTAAACGTGTACCTGTATTAGAATAGACATATTATATATATATAAATGTATACATTTATATTTAACAAATCAGTTCATCCTGGGTCAATCATCAATCTGCAAAACAAATTGGGTTTTTGAATAAGGTCGCGCGACAAGGTTATTTTCAGTTGCACTCTGGATTACCCACGCTTGCTCCGCAAGGTGTCGCCTGTGGAGGGGGGGCAGCACAGCCCATGTGGTTACTGTGACGAAGGTGACAAGTGCTTCCGAACATTTTTCATAACTGTCATTATTCCTCATTCTATTCACAAATAAGATATTTACGGCAATGGAAAATGTGGCACTGGCAAAAGTGGGTCTAGGTGCGTTGACGGGCCGCACAGGTGTCCCAACATTAACCGCTGCCAGAGAATCCCGAAGCATTAAACTACACAACCTGTAGATATTGGAAATTTGGCCAAAATTAAGCAAATGAGGCTTTATTAGATTTGGGTAGAAATAGAGAGGAAAGTCCAGTGACATGCCAAACCCCTAAGTTTAAGTCTTGGCCTTTGACCCCTTAGTCAAGAATCTGAACAAATCAACTTTGGGCAGGTATGCTTTGTTTTCTACCGGCGTTTTTGTGATTTTATCAACTTGATTGTCCAGTGCCAGACCTTTTGTTCCCAGGCACTAGTAGCAAACTTTATCAGATAACAATCTGACACTAACCACGCTGTACTAACAGCGCCGTAAACCCAGTTATCAATGCTGTCATCTTTACCTGTATCTCTACCGGTATTATACCAGTGGTACACAATGTACGTCCGATATATATATCAGTAAGGAAATATGCTGTGATGCTTATATTTATTTGTAATACGTTAGCATCAACCTGTACATTAAAACTTGGAACCTTTCAGTATTATTACACAATAACAGTATATTGACATCATGGGAGTTTTTATAATTAAATGCTTAGAAGAAATAATAAAAACAGATTACGTAAAATAAAAAAATGAATTTATTTTATTTGAGTTATTTTTTTTCAAACCAATTAATTATCAAACATGAATATTATTTTCAGAAACATCAACATATACTACTGCATTATAAATCTGCTGGTACACAGATCTACAGTTCTAAAATGCAAATACCAAGTACCTTTCACACACAAATGATGAGATGTAAATAATCATATGTACAAAGTAGTAAAAATTTCACAAAATGTGTGTAGGCAAGATATTTCTACAAGTAACCTCATTAATCAGTCAGGAAACTTCATAATGCCCTCAATAAATGTAGAAATTTGAGCAAGAGAAAAATTCTACATACATGTGTACAGGCATGACAGATTTACCATATATTGCCACCAACCTTAAACTGAATGGGCATTTTAAAGAACAAAGCGAGTTAAAAATGAATAAGTAATAAAAAACAGATACTGTCATTCTTAATACTGAAAAACAATGGCACCTTGCAGCCTTCACTGCCTCACTATTTGCAAACAATGTTCTAGTCACTGTCACTGTGTACTTTTGATGAGGCAATGATGCAAGGATAACTCCTTTGAATTATATTGTGGAGGTCTTTTTTGTCATCAATCTGACACATATAACCTGAATGTACATATTGCAATTCACACCGCAGCGGCTTGTCTTAGTAAGGACTCAACCAGTTGAAAACTTGTGGCACAGTTTCAGGGACAGGATCACACAAACTACCCTTGCAGTGATGATGGATCTACTAGTACATGTACATTATCTATGTCTTGTCCTCCTAGTTTCTCTAATACGATTTCCCCTGATCTATGCTCACATCAATCTCTACAGCTTTACCAACTTCTACGCAGTTTTTGCATCTGAAAGTATAAAGCAAAAATGTAATAAAGCACTATCAATTTACTTGTTATATATTTATATTTCAGGGCGAGAGAAAAAAGGCAGAAACCGCATATCATAATCAATATAATTGAAAATCAAATATGTATAATCAAATAGCTTTAATTGCACATACTAGTGATGATTTAATCTTTTAAAATTCAGCATGAATTTTGACTCTCTCTTGTTAAAGCATGGCCACTTTATCAAAATGTGCTTGATCAAATAATAATAATGATAATAATAATAACCTGCACACATGATGTAATGGTCAACTGCCACAAAAATGAGTTGATACCGTATGTACTTGGTAGCCTGAGAAATAATATCAGGTATTAATTTGAGCAGCAATAATACCACAGAGTTATCAACGACACAAGCATATGATATGGTGTTATATAGCAAAATTTCATGCATAACTTGCTATCGCCGTGTCCTCCTCAAACTATCGTGCACATCAGCTTTTGATTTTCAATGTCATCAAAATGTTACATTGTTGTTAGTAAGATCTATGTATCTGCTATTCAAATAGTATCGTTTGGAAAATAACTAAAAAATTTAATTATGCTTTTGCAACACGAAATTATCATTAACTTTGCCGGTTCACGTGTACACAGTACCTTGCTATCAATGCTGCTCTTTTCTCCCCAACTCGCCACTGACAGGCTAACCACATCGTTCCAAAACAAAGTTGGCATGATCCTTTACTTTTGGTGTTGGCAGTTTCGCCCCGAGAACATCGTCTTCGGTTAAAAACAACGTATCGTATTCACCCATCTTTGCATTGCTCCTGTACAAAATGTCAGCTTGCTGCCCCCCAAGGGAAAAATCGTAGCACGTGGGTAGTAACGCAAGACCTGTGACGTATAACGCGCGCGACCTTATTGCAGCCGCTGTCGCTGGACAAAAATTTATCACAAATTCACAAACAACAAACAAACGCAAGATACATGTACACAATGAAAACGGCTTAAATTCACTTTTTTTAGAATATTGGCCAACAGGCAATAATCATCCTTTGATTTTGTATGTGTCTAACATCCCCATAACGTACCTGAATGTTGTGAACTGTGGAATGGGGCACTGTGTTATCATACTGACTCCGTCCATGTACGGTGTCCCCATCTGGTGGATACCGTGCCAATGTATCACTGTACTTTCACCGTCCTCAAGTTCATTCTTTACATTCACCACCAAGGTATCACCCTCACAAACCTGGATGACAATCACAAATCTTTTGATTTATTTACAATAAACGCATCATAAAGCCAATGTACTGACAGGTCCCTAAATATTATCAAAGGTATATATACATTTGAGTAATTAATCCTACGTCCTCTTTCGTATGAAACGATGGACACGCATCTGCCGTTTAAAACTGCAAAATACATGTACTCCGTCTAACCTCTATCATCGGCCCTGGTATCCGTCTATTGACCGCAATGACAGCTCGCATATGTCCATCAGCTGCTATACAATGGGGGCGGTGGCAGTCCGTCAGGTTAAATGGACAGTCATAGCAAGCCTAGAATGTATCATAACGTATGGAAGGTACAAGACTGAGAAATTTTATAAGCAATGAATAGTACATCGTTGACATTGGTTCACATTTTTCTTATTGCCTTAACCTTACCCCTTCTTTTCAAAATACTTTTTACCTCCGCCAAGGAATTTGTTTTAACCCCGGTCTGTGTGTCTTTCTGTCTGTTTGTCATCAACATAACTCAAAAACATATGGACCGATTTTAATAAAATTTTCAGGGTAGGTCAGAAATGGGTTAACTTAGAAGTGATTAATATTTGGTGGTGATCCGGATCAATAATCAATCAATAATCAATAATCAAAAATCAATCATCAACACAACTCAAAAAGTAATGAATCGATTTTGATGAAATTTTCAGGGTAGGTCAGAAATGGGTTAACTTAGAAGTGATTAGTTTTTGGTGGTAATCCAGATCAATAATCAATAAATAATCAATAATCAAAAACCAATCATCAACATAACTCAAAAAGTTATGGACCGATTTTAATGAAATTTTCGGGGTAGGTCAGAAATGGGTTAACTTAGAAGTGATTAGTTTTTGATGGTGATCTGGATCAATAATCAATCAATAATCAATAATAATAAAAAAATTGCTGCCTTGGCGGAGGTCTGCGCTCTCGGAGTGCTTTTCTAGTCTCTCTTTTTCGTAATCTTTACCTTGGATAGTGTAAGATACCATTCGACGGTAAAGTTGTACTCGCAGATCTTGTGGACATTTCGCTGACAAACTCTAGCACACTCGTGGCCGTCTATAAAATACATGTATTAGAAATTACGTAAGCTCGAGGAAGGTTAACAACTCGTGGAAGAGGCAAAGATAAGGCTTATGAAATGGGCGTCAGAGTTTCCTAATAAGAGAATTGGCAAAACGTACAGAAGAAGGTCCTAAAAATAAAACTTTGAACAATATTTAAATTTTATCATATACAGTTTTATATATTACAGAGACACAGACAGATTTTTTTCATATGTTTACTTATTTTTTGCTTTAAGTCACTCAATCGCGATTTTTAAATTCGCTTTGTTTAATATATAAATCATAAATTGTATGTTTTTATTTAAGGGTAAATTCTTCGAAATACTCTTGTTTTGCTTTACGCCAGTCTTCGTCTCTTGTGCGAATTGTTGAAATAATTTGACGGCAGCTGAATGAACAGAAATGGGAACCAAATAAACTGAAAACAAAAAGTAGAAACAAAAAATCCCAGGGGCTGCTTTTTGTAATAACAAATAATGGCTTTATAGGGGAGACAGGCTAGTTGGCCCCCCATCAATTAATGACAAAGTAACTATGGGGCAAAGAATTGATCACATCCAATAGTGCTAAGAAAGCGTCGGCAGTGAGTCCGAATGAAATAATTTAGCATCTAAAAGTAACTTTATTAAAGAGACTTGATATTGGGG